GGACAGTCTTTTAGTTGTAAGCTACTACACAATCAAAACCAAGTTACATAGTTTCAATATCCAATGTTACAGAGTAAACATTCCCATTCCAAAAGGGAAGAATGCCAGCACAGCAAGGAATACTCAGACCAAAGCCAGACTAATACTGCTTGATCATTCTTCATATATAATTTTTGTGTATTTTATACACAACACCTTAATAATCTTTATACCCCCTTCCTTATCAGTGCCCTCCCATAGAACCCCCACTGGATTTCAGGCACTCTCTCATTTATGCTAAGGTCTATAGAGTCAAGTTTAGTGCTCCCTGACATCCCTCACTGGAAGATCATTCACTGGGGTCTACTCAGCCTATCTAGAGTCCCTCCCTTAAAGAAGATCAGCTCCTCCTCACCCAGTACTAATCAGCTGCCCAACAGTTCTTTGGCTATGATTGGGACCTGCTCCCCTTTTCCACAGTTCTATGCTGGGTTTTTTGTCTACTTGACTTTGCATGAGTCTTGTGCATACTGCCACCATTGCTGTAAGTTCATATGAGCAAGGACCCAGGAGCCTATATGACTGTTTCCATATGGTCATGTACCTGCTCCCCTGGCTTTTATAATCTTTCTACCACCTCTTCCACAATGGTCCCTCAGCCCTAGGTGGGTGAAGTTTAACGTGGGAGTCCTGTCCAGGGACCCATGTGCTGTAGACTCTTATTCTCTATGATTTGTCCTTTTGTGGCCTTTTGTGTTTACTGTCCTCTGTTGCATGAGGGAACTTTGTTGATGAGAGTTGAGAGATGCATTAGTGTTCTCTCTACTCCTTGTTCCTCCGTGATCCATGAGCCATAGGTGTAGAGGTTCCATTGTAAATGTGTCACTTAGGGTTGGGCTTCTCAAAGACACTTATTCTCTGTGTGTGACCAGTTACAAAAGAAGCTTCTTTGATGAGTGGTGACTGGCATACCTGTCTGTAAATATAAGGATCCATATTTAACATATAGCATATAGTAAATTACATTTGTCTAGGGATATGACAGCTTTAGGGTTTTCTCTAAGATCTATGACCTCTCCAGGCATGTGTATTTGGCTGTGTTTACAGTACCACATGTGAGTTCCCTCTCACAGCCCAATTAGGTAGCTGTTGATTACCCCCAAAATAAAAGTGCCACTATTGCACCAGTATCATCTGCTATGCTGGTTTTTGTTGTAGTTATTAGGCCTTAAAGCTAGGCTTGGACCATTGATTAATTTTCTCCCTTAGCAGCTTACATAGTGTCCTCCAAAACTATGAGAGCTAGTCTTCAGGGCTTTCAGGCCACTTTCAACTCCATTACTCCAAGTCCTGTGTCTGAAGTATGTCCTGTCTTCAGCAGTAGGATCTTACTTTTAAGTTCTGGGAGTTAAACAAGGACTATAACAATAACCTGTGTAATTTTGGGAATCTCTTGGACTACTGTGGCCAACAACTCAAAGGGAGGTTTTTCCTGTCCATAAGCCAGTCCTTGTAATTGTTACCAAAAGCAGAGCTCTGTTGATAGAAGTAGAAATTTGATTAAACTTTGACCTTAGAAAATCTCAAGCTCATATATATCATCTCTAAGTCTCATCTTACAAGCTTTAAATATCTTACTCAGACCTTTGTAACTTGCATAAGCTTTCTAGCTTTCGTTCCCATTCTGGAAACATCCAGCCTTCTCAATCTTTATATACAAGTCTTTCTCTAGTAAAAATGTGTCCAATTTTCTATCCTTCTAACTTTTTTTCTACTTACTGGTTTTCTTTCCTAATACCATGAGACATAGTAACATTAACAAATGAATTTACCATCTGTTGTGAAAATTCGAGTCTTAGTGATCAAAGTTAGAGCAGAATGGAGGAAAATAATACTGGCTTAGGAGCAGATTTATTTCATCAGCTCAGCACCTAATTTATAGTAAATATTTTACAGCTATTGAACAAATGGGCAAAAGCTTCAATAACAAATATCTGTAGTTTTATCCATCATGGTTGTTCAATTATTTATTATTAGTAAAAGGAAAACTCTACAATGTAAAAATTTAATTTTTGACTACTTTGCTTCATGTAATTTTTTTCTCTTTTAGCATGGCTGTCCTCGGCAGATTAAGAGAAGGACTGCAGAAAGCTGTTTCCGACCATACAGTAAAAGCCGTTGTGATTTGTGGAGCAGATGGCAAATTCTGTGCAGGTAAATTAGTGTCTAATTCTGTCCCATGACTTCTAGAATCCAGGTGCAGACTATGCTCGAAAGTTCACTGGTGGGCTGGAGAGATGGCTCAGTGGTTAAGAGCACTGGCTGCTTTTGCAGAAGACCTGTGTTCATACCCAGCACTACATGGTAGCTAACAACTGTTCATAACTCCAGTTCCAAGGGATTGGACACCCTCTTCTGTGCTCCATGGGCACTGTAAGACATGGGTGCACTTACATACATGCAGATGAGGCACTCATACACATAAAATGAAAAATAAAACCTTTTTTTAAAAAGTACATTGGTGGGGCTGGAGAGATGTCTCAGCGGTTGGGAGCACTAACTGATCTTGCAGAGGCTCTGGGTTTGATTCCCAACACCCATATGGTAGCTACGAACCATCCTTAACTCCAGTTCCAGGGGACTCCAAAGCCCTCTTTTGACCTCCGTGGCACTGCACAACATGGGTGCACTCACACACATGCAAGGAATACACTCATACACATGAAATAAAAATAAATTTTTTAAAAAGTGCATTGGCTGTCCATGTGGGAAAGAATTCAGTGAGGGTGATGGCTAGGGAACACTAAAGTGGGACTCAGAAGCATTGTGAATGAAAGTAGAAGTCTCTCTCAAGACAGACCTAGTCAGGACTGTGGCCTTTGTGAGACAGGGTGTCCCTGTAGCCCCAAGCTGGCCTGGAATTCTATGTAGACTCTGTTCTATGTAGACCACACTAGTCTTGAACTCAGAGATCCTCAGAGAGCCTCTGCCTCCTGAGTGCTGGGGTAAAAGGTGTGCACCACCATATCTGCCTCTGGACTGTAAAGTTCTGGAGTGTAGCTCAACAGTAGGATTGGTGCTTTGCAGTTTTAAGGTCCTAGGTGCAATTTCCAGCATTGAAAAAAAATTACATAGAAGAGAAAAAGGCAAAAGCATGATGGGCAAGCAGCAAACAATGCAGCCGACAAAACAAACGAAAATCCAACCAAACCAGAGGAAATACCGAAGAGGAAAAAGCAACAAAATAGTAAACAGATGGGAGGCAATATAAGAGTGGTTTTTAAAATCTAATAAAAACTTGAAGCTGGGCATGGTGGCACATGCCTTTAGTCCCAGCACTTGGGAGGCAGAAGCAGGTGGATCTCTGTGAGTTC